CCTCTCCTGTCCTGACTCTTGGATGCTCTCTCTGTCCGTCTCCTGTCCTTGTTCTCGGATGCTCTCTCTCTACCTCTCCTGTCCTGACACTCTGATGCTCCCTCTCTCTCTCTTCCTGCACAGCTCTGGGAGTGCTGTTTGAGGCAGACACGGAACGCAGGAAGCTGGTGCTCCCTCACCGCGTCAACTTCCTGGAGCGCACGGGGGCAGAACCCGAGTACCAGCACTCGGTGGAGGTGGATCTCCGGGGGCAGCTTCGCACCTCCTGCCAGATGGCCACCTTCCAGCTGCAGGTAGGAGGGCACACCTGTGCCACCTGCCACTCACCGGTGTCACTCGCTCAGCATTCCAGTAAGATCTGAAATCAACTCCTGCGCCACAGGGTCAACTGTTCTGGATATCATTTAGACAAATAATAATGATCCTTACACTTATATAGCGCTTTTCTGGACACTCCACTCAAAGCGCTTTACAGGTAATGGGGATTCCCTCCACCACCACCAGTGTGCAGCCCCACCTGGATGATGCGACGGCAGCCAGAGTGCACCAGAACACTAACCACACACCAGCTATCAGTGGGGAGGAGAAAAGAGTGATGAAGCCAGTTCATTAAAGGGGGTATATTAGGGGGCCATGACTGGTAAAGGCCAGGGGGAAATTTGGCCAGGAAGCCAGGGTAACACTTCTACTCTTTTCGAAAAATGCCCTGGGATTTTTAATGACCACAGAGAGTCAGTTCCTTGGTTTAATGTCTCATCCGAAGGAGGGCGCCTTTTTACAGTATAGGGCCTCCCCTTAACTAAAATGGGGCATTAAGACCCACACAGACTGCAAGGTGAGCGCCCCCTGCTGGCCCCACTGACACCTCTTCCAGTAGCAACCTTCGTTTTTCCCAGGAGATCTCTAATCCAGGTACTGACCAGGCTCACACCCGTTGTGAGTTGCAGGTGATATGGCTGCTAGCTAAAATACACTGTAATGTTCTTTTCCTGAGCTCCTTAAAGGAATGACATCTCTCAATCTCCATCACTGGCCATCACTGCCCCCCTCCGCCCCTTCTTACCCTGTGTCTTTTCCCATCCAGCAGGACACCTTGCGAGACAAGCTGCGGCCCATCTCCATTTCCGTCACTCACTCCATCAAGCGGGCGAGGCTCTCCAACGTGCCCTCTGGCCAGCTGGGGCCACTGCTGCCAGTGCTGAGTACCGCCATGTCCAACACCCTGCAGACAGAGGTCAGTGCTCTCTCCATGCCTCACCAGGAGGGCTTCCCTTTCCCCTCTGTCATCAGTGCCAGACTTATCTCACTGTCACGTACCCAGATACGTCTCACATTGAACAATGAACAGCATGCACTAAGGTGCTTTTTTAGTCACTATTAAATAAAATGGGGGATCACAGCCTTAGCCGAAGACCGTACAAAGGGAAAATCACAAAGAACACACTGCAAGATATGAAGCAAGAAAAGATGATGATCTCATCCTTGGATGGGTAGATGTTTTTGCCCAGTTTTTGCTGTGTTTTCATTTGGGTTTCATTAAAAATCCTTGTTTGCCCGACCCTAACCCTAATCCTTGTTTCAGGATTTTTAGCAAAACAAGTACCAAAGGGAATTTCTGTACTTTAGATTTGGGAGATTTCCCCCTCGTCTGTAACACAGCCTTTCCGCCCACGCATCTCTTTCCTTCCGGCTGCAGGTGAATTTCCTGCGAGAGGGCTGTGGGGAGGACAAGATCTGCCAAAGCAACCTGCAGCTCTCATATCGGTTCGGGACTCGGCCGGCCCCGGCGGACCCCTTCACCCCTCTGCCTCGGTGAGTGCCGTATCACTGCAGTCAAGACACTGCAGGACCACACTGGTGCGCTTAAGCCTGGGTCTGTCAGGAAACCAACCGACAGAACAGGAGGATCCTAATGCGTAACCGTGAATCCCACAGAATGCGGAGTAGCACAGGGACCAAAAGACGAAATCCAGGGGCTAGGTCGATTAGGGAGGCAAAGAGTCCGGTAACGAGAGAAATCCAAAAGGCGTGGTCAAAAGGCAGGGGCAAAGATTAGGTACCAGGAGATCAGTCAAAAGGCTTAGAAACGCGCGCAAGAGAATACTACTGGAGGCTTCTCAATAGTGAGCATGGGTAGGTGTGTGAGTGAAGTTTCAATACTGAAAGGAGAATTTGTGGAATCTAGTGCATGTGGGAATGTGATGGGCTCAATTAGGAATGAGATTGTGAAACTGTGGTTTTGGGAATGCATGCCGTTTGCGAGGGAGAGTGTGGGGCGTGATAGGGTCGTGTCTGAGACAGGGATTCCCCATAGGGGCTGGGACGAAATAAGTTAGCCAAAGCCCCTGCTGAAATCCTGGTCAGCTGCAGGATTTGCAGCTTGCTCATTCATGTGCAGGATAGACATTGCCAGCTGGGCTCCGTCATTCCAGGATGCCACACCTGGCTCAAAACACCAGGGCTGGGTGAACCTGGGGCAGCCGGAATACCCTCTGTTTGCCATGCATCTGATACATGTGGGGCAGAGAGCACAGCTTTCAGGCAGTGTGCACAGGCCTGATCCCTTAAAGAATTTCAGAGGGCAGCAGAATTGATTAATTATTGGTAATTAAGTGCGGGGAATTGAATGGGGGGGGGGGTGAAAATGTAAATTTCAAGTTCAAGAAAAAATATTTTTCATTTTCAAGGCATTTCGGTGCCGTTTGTGGGCGGGTGCTCACCTTTGCTTCTCCTTCCGTATGAACAGGGATGACGACGGCATGCAAGTCTTCTCACTGTCGAACCAGAAGGCCGTGGCTTTGGAAGTCAAAGTCACCAACCTGCCCTCTGACCCCCGCCGCCCCCAGGACGACGGAGACGACGCCCACGCTGCCCAGCTGCTGGTGGCGCTGCCCGACACGCTGTCCTATTCTGGGTTCCGCGGCCCGCAGGTGCCCGCCGTCACGCGCACGCGTTCCCTGGCTGCCGACGACGGCGTCAGTTAGACCCAAATCCGGTTCACAGTAGTTTTGATCGGCAGTGTTTCCCCTCTGTGCAGGACAAGCAGCTGGTGTGCCAAGCCAATCAGAACGGCTCCCAGGCAGAGTGCGAGCTGGGGAACCCACTGAAGAGAGGGGCGGAGGTAAACCAGTCACCCTAACAGCACCACCCGCGGTGTGAACGACACAGCACTGCCAGGCCATCTCACTGGAGGAGCTTTCTGGAACGGAGCTGCATCGTGTCCCGGCTTTAAGAGTCTGTTTATTAATAGGGAGGATTATCAGAAAAGTGGTTGAAAGAATTTCAATCAACATACTGTATGCAGCAAGAGGAGATGTTGTGGGCGTACAAGACGTTTTTCCCCCCACCGAAGCACAGTTGTGGGATTTTAGTCTTGTTTCATTTGGAACAAAAAGTCTTTTTTTTTGTTGGGGGGGGGTGGAGTTAGACATTTTTTCCAGGTGCTCTCCCAAGATGCCTTAGCAGTCTCCAGAAATACATCTATTCCTCCAGAGCAGACAAGCTCCGAGTGACAATCCACGTTGTGTGTTAATTGTAGTGCAACACGAAGACGACGAGAATGATTACGTAGGAGGTTTGGTCTTGGGTGTGTGACTAGAGAGAAATAGAAAAAATGAGCTCCTGTCCACCGTGGCTCTTCTGATGTTTTTTTCCTCTCCCTTTTCGTAAGCCTGTATCTCTTCCCACACCCTAACACAGAATTGACATATCTCTCTCTGCGCCTCCCAGCTGACCTTCTACCTGATCCTGAGCACGTCAGGCATCACCATAGAAACCACCGACCTGTCCGTCACGCTACAGCTGGCCACGTGAGTGCTGCTGCCCGTGTCACTGCAGTCCTGGGTCAAAGTGCGTCCGGGGGTCAAAGTGCATCTAGTGCACTGGTGCACAGCAAAGAGAGCTGGGTTCAGGGTTCACAGTCCTCTCTGTGTGGGTGCGGGTCAACGTGTTGCTTTTAAATTCCACTGGGATTTGATTTTGCTGGAAGTGGGCTCATCACTTCTGCCCACAGATATTGCTGTTCTGGTCTGGTTGTTACTTGTTGTATTGTAATTCTAGTTGTAGTTGTAGCTCAATGTGTGATTTCCACTTCGCACCAATAGAGGTTTGCTCAGTGGCAATTACTATGTCAAAAGGACTTGTGGATATTACCGTGTGCATTGTAGTACAATTGTCATTATATTACTGTCTTCTTCGGTCTGTTGTTTTTGGGGATGTGCTTACTGTGCCCTCCCGTGTAGTGTGTCACTCTGTGTTTCCTCCTCCAGTATAAGCGAGCAGCCTGACCTGAAACCTATGAAGGCCCGAGCAAAAGTAGTGATAGAGCTCCCCCTGTCAGTCACTGGGTAAGTGAGTTGTTTCTACAAGCCCCTGGCTAATGTACAGTACAGACATCACAGCAGTTCTTCAAGTTGTCAAGGCATAAACCCTTTGCCCCAGCAAAACAGAGCTCGCTTGCTAATCCACTGCACTGTGGGCTGAGAAATAGAGCACACAGTTCTCATGTAGAGCATGGTTCAGCTGCAACCATAGACTCCTGGGTTTTACTTGTCGTGGGTGTTTTAAATGAAGGGCAGAGCATGCCTTCGTATTTACATTGACAAAAGAAATGTCTTTTTGTCAAAAGTAGTTTAATTATTCTGCTGCAAAGTGATCAGCATTGTTCCTTAGGTTTATGCCCTCCAGGCATGAAAAAACTTAGTGTTATGTTACTAGTTTAAGCAGAGTTTGACCGTGGGGGGGTGTTTCTGCAGAGTGGCCCGACCCCACCAGCTCTTCTTCAGCGGGGCGGTGAGGGGTGAGAGCGCGATGACGTCACTCGAGGACGTGGGCAGCCCGGTGGAGTACGAGTTCACAGTGAGTAAAGGATGCATATCCATCAAGCCACGCCTCTGTCTTTATCTCTTCGTCCTTCCCTTCTTGGCACTCCTTCAGCGTGCACTGTCACACAAATCATCACAAAAGCTAGTCAAGAGTCCCTTAGACAGCTACAAACACGCTGGCTCCTGAATTCCGAACTCTCCCGCGCCTAGATCCTTATAGGAAGCAGCAAGGATTTGATTACCTGAGTGTTTTGAATATATGATTCCTTTAAGTTAATAGTTTGGATTCCTGTATCTTTTTAAAAATAAAACAATGTAAATTACAGCTCTGATTATAGTAAGATTATTGAAAAGTAATTACTTTTCTGTATATACAGTAAATAAATCAGTACTGTAGGAATGTTTTTAGACACAGGATTGTTGTCAGAGTAACGTTTATGAGTAAGTATGAACATCCTCCGTCTCTAATTTCCACGTCTCTCTTCTATGTCTCAGTCATGAATCCAGATACTTAATTAATTTAAATGTCTGAATTTTGACTCTTTATGTCCCAACAATGGAATATTGATTCCTGTCTTCAGTGTTTCGATTTGCCTATTGAACCTTCATTTGTAGGTGAAAAGTTGGGTTTTTCCTGATGGTGTTCTCTGAACCTTGTGTCTGTGTCTCAGGTGACCAACCCAGGGCAGTCCTTACAGACACTCGGCTCTGCTTTCCTGAATGTCATGTGGCCTCACGAGCTGGCCAATGGGAAGTGGCTGCTGTATCCCACTAGCATGCAGTTCAAGGGACACCCCAACACTCGCTGCACTGCTTCTGAACCCCTTGACGTCCTGGGGCTGAACCGTAACTCCCACTCCCAGGCTGCACAACACACGGTGAGGGCCTGCACTCAGGAAACAGACTGGAGCAGGGGTGGCCGAGGGTATCTGTGTAGTACAGTTATGGGCCACATTTATGTAGCTCTGTTACTGCACACAGGACAACCATGCTGTATTAAATTACTTCTACAGTAGCACAGTTAAATCACCCAGTTTCTTTCGTTCCTTAAAAACAGTAACATGGAAAAAGAGGTGAGAGGAAGCCGTTCTTTCTCATTGAGCCTGACTTACTGTTTCGGATGCTGTGTGGTTTTGGAATAATGTTTTTGTGTAGTTATGTGCATTTCGATGAGACTTCCATTTCATGCTCAATTTGTTTATTGGCTTTCATTTCAGCCAGTGTTTGCCTACATTGCAGCTCAATTGTTACAAACTATAATTCAAATATTTGAATGTGGATAACCATTGATTACAGGCTTAAACATTTGGATGCTTATACGCAGGTCTCTGTTGAACACACCTTTGTATTCTGTGCTGTGTAGCTCTTAAATGGAAGATGTCTCCCACCCAACAGAGCTCTCACAGCAGGAAGGGGAGGTCCCATCCAGAGGAGCAAGACAGGATACTCACGCAGAGCATCTTGGGTAGGACAACGCCAGCCGTAGCTGCTTCAGAGAGGAAGAAGTCACTGACGCTGGTGAGCGATTCACATCAGTAGGGCCTACGTCTTAGTGGCTGTGTTGACCTCCATTGATCATACCCACAATACCAAAGTTAATTATGCTCAAATAGAGAGTACATACAACATGTATAGTGTGTTTGAATAATATAGCCGATTGTTAAACGATGTCACTGATGCTCCAGAACTAAACCATGCAGGTGCACGTAATAACGAAACTAAAATACAAAAGGGTAGGAGCGCCCTCTAGAAGAGGGATGACGATCGTGAAATTACACCCTGCAAGGGATGCTAGTCATCCAAAAATAACAATTTTTTTATTTCAGAATTTTAAAAACTTTTCCAGTTTGAACTGAGTAATGGACTTGGCTCTCCATTCCAATCCCTGTAATCCCTCTGACTTTGCCCATCAGAGCTGTGTGACACAGAGCTCTGTTGTGTCTTGCCCTGGAGTTAACACCAACTGGAGAATGGATGCACTTCCCACTGATGGCACTACGAATCCGTGGGCCACTCTTGGCCTCCAAACCACTAGTGCTCTGCCACTTGAGGAGCCCAAGTCAATGCTAATAGCACAGCCCGCAACCAGCCTCGTGACAACTGGACTCTAAAGCTTTTCCAGTGCTGTGACTGGTTGATCATCTGTGGTAAAATATCAAGGCCAATGCAGTGACTTGCACATAAGGGTCAAGGAGCAGTATTTGTCAATGCAGTCAATGTTAATGCTCTGACATTCTGGCAATGTCTTCTACTCTGACATTAGGACTGCCTGCTAGGCTCAGCCCGCTGCATGCTCATCCAGTGCCCCCTGCACAGCTTCGCTGGCTCAGCCACATTGAAGGTCCAGGCCCGTCTTTGGAACAGCACCTTCCTAGAGGTACCGGCTTTTACACTATCCCTCCCATCCTATCCTGAGTGTCCATCCTGTCAATTAACCAGGCCATAGACTGACAGAGATCTCATCTGAGTACAAATCAAACACTGACAGTAGTTATCAATCTGGAGATTTACCATTTCCTTGGAGTGAATTCCTTACTGTGCATTCAGAATTATTTGATACATTTAAGTGTGTCAGAAACACAAGTGTTTCTCTGATAACTGCAAGTGGTATCTCCAACCATTGAACAAACAGAATCAATAAGCTTTTGTATCACAAACTTTGCTACAGCCATGCAACTCTGTACACTGTGTTCATGGCAGGCCTCATGAAGAAGGCGTAGGATGTTATTTGCAAACTGAGCGATAAACTGACAGGAATTGCTATGTCTGTTCAATTCTGGAAGACTAATTTCAAGAAGAAATGTTTTCTGAGGGTCATGTGGCTGTATTGTGTATGTGTTCCAAATCAAACAGCATTTAAATGAAACAGCAGTGAGAAAATTGAAAGTATTTTGCAATCCTCTCTTCTCCTCCCCCTTTCAAGCTCCTCTCATCACAATTCCCATATTCTCTGTTTAATGTCTCTATGCCCGTTTTTGACTTGCGCCGACCTGTCTTGCCACCTGTGTCACCCAGCTAGTTCTCTGGCCTTGTCCTCTCTTTGTCAGGAGTTCCCTTCAGTCAGTGATCTGGAGTTGCTGGTCAGAGCGAATATCACGGTCAAGTCCACCATCAAGCATCTGATGCTGAGGGACGCTGCCTCCGAGGTAGGCCTCACCCCTCTGTGTCACTCCTTCTCCCTGCCGGGCCTGGCAAAGGACAGCGCTGCTGCTGGACATGCCTGTGGTGCTCCTCTCAGAGCCTGGTGTGCTGTTTTTCTCACAGAAAAATGTGCAAATAATTGATTAATTCAGTTCAAGTTTTCTCCTGGGTGGTGCAGTGATTAGCATTGCTGCCTCATACACTTGGGACCCTGGGGTGCAGCCCGCATGACATTTGTATGTTCTTCCCATGTTCAAGCGGGGTTTCTTCTGGGTGCTCCAGTTTCCTCCCACAGATCAAAGGCATGCTGGTGGGTTAATTGGCTTCTTGGGAAACTGGCCCTGATGTGTGTGTGTGTGTGTGTGTGTGTGTGTGTGTGTGTGTGTGTGCCCTGCAATGGACTGACACCCCATCCAGATCGTACCCTGCCATTTCCTGCTGGGATAGGCTCCAGCTCCCCGTGACCCTCAATTAGATGAAGTGATTAGAAAATGCATGGATGGAATTTTACTCTCTCACTAGGTTTTGGGAACTTGTTCAACTGTTACCCAATCCTGAATGATCAGAAGGGTGGTCTTTTGACTCATTTGAGGCACTTTGAGATTCGACAGGATAATCAAACTGACCTTCACTTGAAAGATGGAGATGTGTAAATTTAGCATTACACCTTCTCTGAGATATTTTACAGTGAATTATTACATGTATACTGAATAACAAAGTCATTTGGTCACTCCACGGGTCATTTATTGCCTTGGTTTGTAGAAAGTTATCACTTCATTTTATTCTGCATTTTCACTTTGAAAACCTTTGTGAACAGATTCCATTGAGGATCTACCCAGAGCACGGGATTTCGGATCAGTACGGGATCCCTTGGTGGATCATTCTGATAGCAGTTCTGGCCGGGATCCTGGTCTTGGCTCTGCTGGTGTGTCTGCTGTGGAAGGTAAGCATGCTAAAGCAGAACGAGTTGGAAAAATGTGGCATACATGAATAATGCAGAACAACAAAGCTGAGAGAGGCGGATTTCTCTTGGTGATCTCTGGAGCACACATGTGTTCTTACCAAGAATACCCCAGTGTTAAGGCACAGCTCAGGTGTGTGTGTGTCTGTTTGAACATAATCTTCTGTAGAGCGCATTCAGGTATGGTGAAGACATCTATTCCATCATTAGCCAATTTCACTTTCAGATAACCATATCAAGATGCATCTTCTACCTGAGGATGTCTTTTTTTAAGAACTTTGATTCTGCATCAAAATACCCTGCATCTGATGGCCTGGGCCTTGTGAATCTTTGCAGGACCTACAGTAACACAAATGGTCATGCAGAAGGATGCTCTTTAGCTATGTATTGTATAAATGGGAAACCAAATGTTTCCATTGTTTTTTTTAGGAAGGAGAGTTTCAGGCTGTAATCATTATAAAGTATTTTGGGTGAGCTGTACGAAACTTAAGAATGGTTATGAACAAGAGGATGCCTTTCAGTTCATCCTGCACCTCTGGTTGTTTAGAAAGCCTAAAACTGAACCCAGAACTTGGGCCCTGACAACCTGGTTGGGAAGACCTCTACTCTTTCTGTAAGGAAGCACTTTCGATCCTTCATCCTGAATCCTGTTGCAACCCTGGCTCCCGGTTGACCCTGTCTGTACCCTTAGGAAATTCATATGGTCGGATCCTCTCGATCTCTTTTATTCAAGACTGAAGATATTGACTGTAGTTCCTTCTCTGTGTATGTCTGTGCACAGCAGGAAAAAAAAAAGTAAGGACTGAAATCAGAGGAAAGAGAAGACAAGATCCTTTCCCCCTCCAGTAGGAGACAGACCTGTGCCATTCTGGGGTGGCTGTGTTGCTGTTCCTCCCGTTGCTGATGAATCTCTGATGCTGAACCTCCCCTCCTTAACCCCTCCCATCCCCCCTCTCCACAGTGTGGGTTCTTCCAGCGCTCAGAGCGGCGCCCTCAGTATGAGACAGAGTATTACCGCGCCCACCTGCAGGTGCAGCCCTCCGAGGCAGAGAAACAGGCGGCAGACCTGCACTAGACCCCCCCCAAGCTCTTCCCCGTTGCGGTAATCCAGCCTGTGCCCTGGGGCAGCTTGTTGTGCTGTGATCCGCTGGGCTGCGTGCTCTGTTAGAACAGTTCACCCTGGTACAGTGCAGTTACCGCAGACCTGCAGCAAAATCATCCACTTTACATGTAGAACAAGAGCTGTAATTGATTAGACACAGTCCAGGCTGTTCACTGCCAGCTGGAACCCCAAAACCCATTAGAAATCACTATGGTGGTGCACAAGCGAGAGGACAGAGAGAAGAGTTGCACTCTGAGTCTCTGAGCACATGCACCAAACAGGCACGGAGTAGCAACGTCAGGCTAGGTTTGACCAACTTCAGAACATACCGGGTGAAATGCTGCACAAAGCCTGGCCAGAGTGAACTTTTCTAGAAGACATTGTGTGTGTTTCATGAAATCACTGCTGGGCTTGTGTGTGTGTCACTTTTTTAAAACTGTGCCATTGAACAAAACTCGTTCATTCCCCATAAGAAACATGCTGGTCCAAGGACATCCCGAGACAGTCCGACGGTACATTTTATCAGACATGCTGTCATGGCCTAGTTAGCTTTTGGTCCTGTTGTGTGAGACACAGGCAGATAACAAGCAATGGGAGTCTGTATTTATACTGTCAAACTCTACTGCATGAAAAAGAAAGGACTTTTAGTCTTTAGTCTTAATTTTAGCTGTCTTTTAACAGTGTGGAAGGTTTTTTACTGCCGTATCATGTCGCTGCATCAGTAGCCTAGTCCTTCATACAGTACATGTCCTGACCCACATCATATGAATGTGCTGGCTGCTCCCTGTAGCTCTGGGTTTGATACCCTCGGTATGCGAGGCTAAAACACATGGGCCAGAGTGGATCAGAAGGTCAGACTGGCATCCACTCATTCTCAGTCTTTCAGGGTCAGCTCAAAGGAGTTTTTGTATATGAAACATTCCCAGCCTGCATGTTGTGTATGATGTGGGAGGTAGTTTGTGCTTGATTAGCGATGTCTTGCTTTGGTTAGCTGCTGTTTTTAAAGCTTTTGTGTTTGTTTGCAGTGCTGCACCACATCTAGATAGACTGTAGTTATATATTGTCAGCAGATGGTGGAAACTGCATGATTCTCAGTTGTTTTTAACATGGTTGTTTCCTTTTTCTTCCATGAAATCTGTCTACGGTGCAAAAATGAGAAGAGGCAGAGTGAGAAGCTTCTTGTCCAGAGTCCTTCAAACACATTTGCTTTTGTGTAAAAAAAGAAGGATATGCTGTGAGATGAAGTTGTGAAAATGACAACTGTGTCAATGATTCTGGTCACCCTTCAGCGGTTTAAAATTAAGCAGCAGATGAGTGCAAATGTTATTGAGAGGTGTTTCAGTAGTCCAGTTTCATCTGTTTCAAACAATAAGGGAGTTTCCCTGTATCCTGGCCATATTCCCCTCTGGCCTTTACCAATCACGGCTTCCTAATAATCCCCATCATTATACTGGCTTCATCCCTCTGTTCTCCTCCCTGCTGAGAGCTGGTGTGTGGGGAGCACACTGATGCACTGTGGCTGCTGTCGCATCATCCAGGTGGGGCTGCACAGTGGTAGTGGTGGAGGGGATCCCCATTACCTGTAAAGCGCTTTGAGTGGAGTGTCCAGAAAAGCGCTATATAAGTGTAAGCAATTATTATTATCTCACCGCTCCTGGTCTCCCAGTGTCCCTGATCCAGTACCGTCTGTCTCGGTGCTTCCGGTCTCTGTCTGGGCCTTGGATGTGTCCGTGGATGTGTGTGTGTGACCCCTGTGCTTTGCTCTGTTCCGCAGTGTGGGTTCTTCAGGCGGGCTCAGTACAAAGACACGGTGCCGCAGTACCACGCAGTGAAGATCCCGAGAGAGGACCGGCCGCAGTTCAAAGACGGGAAGACCGGCACCTTGCAAAAGAAAGAGTGGACCACACACTGGAGCGACGGGACCTCCTGAACCCCCCGACTGCAACACTACCCCCCCACCCCATCCCCCGTGCACCCCCTGCAAACACGCACCCTCCACTATACACTCAGACGGACTGGCCACGCGGGCCCATCACAGTGCGGAGAGTGGGAGAGAAGACGACAGAGAGCTCTTCCCCCTCTACAACGCGCCACGCTCACGCGCTCCGATTCGCCCTTGCCCACCCAGACTGCAAACGCTGGCGCCCGCAGAGCCGATGACAGAGAAAACAGACTGAAATGCAAACTCTTCTAAAACCCCTCTGCAACCCCTGCGATAAGGATGCTTACACACACAAGCAGCTCCGATGCGCTGCAGAGGCCGAGTCCTGGACAGCCGAACCCTGCCAGGGTGCCTGGGTCCGATCAGAGTGCCCATACAAGCAGAGCTCTGGGGTGATCGGCAAAACCACGACAATCTCGGACCTACACACACCTCACACGCTGGAGCTAGAGGTGCAAAGCTGCCTGAACTGTACACGAAGAAATTCCTTTTTAACCTCACCGCACTGGCAACATAGCTGATTTGCAGAATGACACAGGTCTACAGTCAGCCCTGCTGGAACTGAAGGGGCAGAGTCCTTAGTTTGCGATAGACTGATCAGTTGTATTGGTGTTGAATGTGTCTATCCATATCACAGGACCAGCACGCAGGCATTGCAGGACAAGTTAAGTCAGCCTCCTAGACCTATACTTATACAAGTAAAGACCTTTCTTCACAGATCACTGCTGTAAGGCAGTGGCTAAGACGTAGAATCCTGCAGAACATGAATGCCAGCAGAATCCCTGTGCATGTTAGCAAACTCTGCACAATAGAACAAGTCAAATCAGCTCGTGCAAAACTTAATTCAGCCTGTTACTGTAACACTCCTGGTCACCTTCGATCTGAACAACGTGTGCTCTGAAAATATTAACCTTCAGCATGATGTGCAAATTCTCCGGTGAACCAGAGCAGCTCTGCCAGATTTCAATGAGGGACATGGATAGTTATTTCTGAGACACGTAGAGCAGGATTAACACCTGTCCAGTGTTTAAACTTGGATGTGTATCTTATTTGACCTCCTAAAAGCAGATTGCTATTATTAAGCTTAGAGACAGGTTCTGAAAGACAGCTTTAAGGGAACCATCAACAATTCATTTTTATGTGATAGCTTGTGTACTGTATATCATAAAGCTCTCAGCTCCAGTCCCGAAGGGCTGCATTCCTGCAGGTTTTCTAGATCTTCTTTAATTGCCCCTGTGGAAAAGCTGTTGCATTGCTCCAGTTGAGTCAAAAATTAGTTTGGTTAGAGCGTTAAACATTATACTTCATTGAAAAGACAGGACTGGGTTTGGGAATCCATCTCTTAAAACTACCTTTTTCAACTTGTACAATATAGTTACTCAGTTTGTTGAGCTCTTTACCTGTCAAAATGAAATTGTTCACTACCTTTAGAACTTAGTCATTATTAGGGCCTTGCTGTGGCAACCTCTGTCTGTCCTCTGAGAGCTGTCAAGAGTAGAAGACTATATAGTATTGTACGACACTGTGCATGGGTTACACTGGACTCTTGGGAGCTCAGAAACATCTGTATCTGAGTGTATCTTTAGATGTTTTGCAGTGGGTGATGCTGGTGTACAGACTGGTTACTTTGAAAGAAAAACTAAGGCTCTGTTGTATTATAGCAGATAATTAAAATAGCATCAGCAGGTTCCTCACATAGCTTTTAGGTAAAGCAGAAGGAAACACTGTGACGGTTTTGTAAATACTTGATCATTTAGAAAGTAATTTCACAGTACGGAAGAGGTCAGGATTGTGGGAACATAGTATAAAAGACATCATTCTTTTTTTCCTTTTTACTTATAAGTGCCTTATTGTTGGACTGGCCAATTTAACACCTGAAAATTGCTTCCTTTCAAGTTCCTTACTTGTCTTAAATCTGAAAGATGGTCATACGGTTTGCATTTCCTTTCGATATTCTGCCTTGCTCATTGTGCATTCTCTTTCATCTCTTTTTCATGTTTTTGCTTGTATTGTGATGAACTGGACTCATGTATACAACCTCGAGGACACTGATTCACTCTCAGTTGCATTTAAAAACCTTTTTAAGAGCCATAGCTGACAAAATAAGTCCATTCAGGCAATTTTAATAGTGCCAGTATTTGCAACTGTAAGGGTCCCAATAAACAACTTGTAGGTTCTGAAATGAGGACAGAGAGAAGTTAAAAGCTTTGAAAAATGACCACATTCTTGAGGGTTACTTATTTTATAGCCACTTTAAAAATGCTGAACATGTCCCACTCTGCTTCCCAATGCCAGGCAGTTCTATAGATTAGACTCATCATCACATCACTCAACTGTGTAAAATTACAGGGGGCGCTTGACCTCCAGTCACAGCTCTGTTCTTCTGGATTCGGTCATTTACACTAGAAGATGTTTTAGGCAGGGAAAAGGCCAAAACACATGAACAATCAGAAGTGAAGTTGGCTTCAAAGGAACGGAAGTGTCTACCCTACTTTCTAACAGTCAGATTGTGAGCTCTTGTTGAGAACCTGTTTTTATTTTGGGGGGTGGGGGTGGGGGGTCATTTGTTTTTGCAGGAATAATTAACAAAGTGCACAACCTGAGCTGTAACACAGAATAACAGTTAGTCAATGCCCGGACTTGTCACGGATGTCGGAAAGGACGAACCCTGGAATGGCAGGAGAGTGAAAATAGACCCTATGCGTAGCGGCGAGATGGGGGTTAGCCCGGGCTTAGCTGTTCAGGAAATGCCGTATAGAAACCTGTGCCCTCAGGCCATGGACAGGAGTGACCTGGTGCTAGGCGGGTCTCAGGACATCCGAACCTCAATACTGAGCCAGGAGCAGAGCAGACACAGGAAGTAAATAGGCTACACAACAAGACACGCCAGAAAGACATGAATAATCACAGGGAACTAGGAACAGGAGAGAAGCAGAGCGCCCTCTAGGTGTACTGGGCGTGACAGGACTAGGATCCACAGGAAGTAAAAACAGATGCTTTAAAGGCACTTGTGCATCATCCGCAGTGAGCGAGTGACCTGAGGTGTAGAGGAACTTGTAAGGACTTTGCAGGGTTGAACCTGGCCAGTCCAGAGTTGCGGGGAGGGGTATGTGTTCTTTCATGTGTGAATAAACCAGGGAGAAGGTGGGTGGACACACACACACTCACATGCATGTTCACAGTCTAATCCTCATTGGTATTGCTGGACAATCTTTGTTGCATGAAGGTTTTATACACCTGCTTGTAATGTTGAAACCATTTTATTTATTCTGACCATCCCCTTGTAAAAACACAACAAGAAAAATAAAGTCTTCAGGCAACAAGAGCAAGGGCCTGAGAGTGAGTGTGTTGGTGCACCCTGACTGTTGTGCATGTTCTTGTGCCAGATCAGTGCTCAAACACAGACAGCACCATACGGCAAAAGTACAGGGCTCATCTTTTCAGTAATGGCAGGGAAGGGGCCTACTGCTAATGGAAAAGGTCAGATATTACTGTAGGCGCTAATTACATCCATTAAAAATGCAATCAGTGTGTTTTAGATGCTGTTATTCTTATAATTAGATTTATTGTGTACACTGCCCATGTTACTCTGTGCCCTTTGAAGGAGGTGAGTCAAAAAAGCACTTAATAGACTATTGAGAGCTTATGCTAGTCCAGGAGATCTGTAATCCTCCAGTTTTTAAGTGGTTCTTGAAATCTTCAATGGGCTAAAGACCTATACATCTGAAATTGTGATCAATACAGTAACTAACCCAATTGATTAGGTGATTAAATGATCACGAGGGTTGAAACCTAGTTGACAGCCAAACAGTGCAAATTAATGCAGGTGGGTAGCTGCGTCAGCATGCGTAGTCTGCAGAGGAACAAGTAATAGGTTTATTCCATGCTGAAAAGAGAAGGGAGAAAACACAACGTTTCAGCTGTGAAGCCGTCTTCAGGTGTGAGGCAAATTAACTGCAGTCAATACTGTAGCTTGTTTCAGACTTCAAAAGTCTCGATCCCCCAGTATCACATTTCCTCCTACCTGGCATCTTCTTCATTTAATCGGGCAAGTTGGCCCAATAGAGTTTTCACTCTTATGCTGTTGACCTTCATTATCAACTCCAGCTCGCCCAGCAACTTGGAACAGGACTAGCCTGATGCACATGAGGTGTGTGTTCAGATCCATTCATGTTCTTCAAATTAAATTTTCACTTGATTTTTTTTATTGTTTGTTTTTAAACTGGTCATTCTGGTACTGTTAAAACTGTACATCATTTTGTGCTTTATATTTATAAATGTATTTAATTATACCGAATTAATGATTAAAAACAATCTAGAAATCCCATATTTCTGTTAATATATCTCATTTATTTTTTGACCTGCATCAAATGGGGGGTAGGGAGTCTGATGTGTGGGTTTGTCTGTGCTATGTAATGTTTGTGTTTGTCTGTTGAATCAGGAATGCGAACGTCTGTCTGCACATCTGGGCATGCACAGCTGTTTTTGTGTGAAGGGGGTTGCGTGGCTTGGTGTCGCCCTGTGTGAATGTAAGAACAATCATGAGTATCTGTGTAGACCTTATCCATTGACAGTACCTTTTAACGTCGAGAATGTGCAAATCTTTAGGTGCAGAAAAGAAGCCATTCTATCAGCTTGCAACTAATGACTGGCAGCCCACTGAAGATTAGCAGGTGTGAGCCTGGTCAGTACTGTACCTAGATGGGAGATCTCCTGGGAAGGTTGCTGCTGGAAGAGGTGTTAGTGGGGCCAGCAGGGGGCGCTCACCCTGTGGTCTGTGTGGGTTCTAATGCCCCAGGATAGTGACGGGGACACTATACTGTAAACAGTCGCTGTCCTTCGGATGAGACATAAAACCGAGGTCTTGACTCTCTGTGGTCATGAAAAATACCAGGGCGTTTCTCGAAAAGAGTAGGGGTGTAACCCCGGCGTCCTAACCAAATTTCCCTCCCTAGCCTTTAGTAATCACGGCCTCCTAATAACCATGTGGCTTTATTATTCTGTTCTCCTGTTGCATTTGAGAACAGGTTTCGTACGGAGCTATGGACTAATTTCAGCGGCAAAGTGCGTTGCAGTTTGTCTGAAGTTAGCGCACTAGCTTAGCACGGAGCTGCGTGCTAACCGGGGTTATTACGCTGTTTTTAGGTCACTGCAATTGATCCAGAATGAGCAAAAAAAAACTAATAAAGACGAAATATAAAAGTCGGCGCGCTTTGCGTCTCTGGTGACGGCACAGACTCACACTGTATCGTGAAAGTTTGGCTGCATTTTCACAAGTCGCCACAAGGCGGCACAATGACGCCACGTTTAACGCCTCCCGCACTATCCCGCTTTGAAAGCGCCGTTACACCCCGTTTTACTTGGAAACCTCTTGAGTTCGGACCTGCATATCAGTCATGTTGAAGCCTAAGGGCAGATCGTTATAAAAATTTAACGTGAGCACTAGTCATCCATTATGTGTGGTGAGCATCAGGGTCTCCGAGAGCTCAGACGAGGCCCGGGCCATTTCACATTTTGAGGCCAACACATTGTTTGGGAAGAGGGGTAAAACATATTTTAACGTTAAGAATGACAAGATGGGAAGAATAAGGCGGGCATTTTGAAACTCCTAAAGAATGGTAGGTTCATTTATTTCAGTGCTGTGGACTTTAGACGAGAATCACACAGTATATGGTAAGTGGAGGACCATGCACCCTGGGCTGAGGTGAGGCCCGGGCCAAATGGCTCTGCTGCCCCCCCTTCTCTTGTAGGTCCTGGTGAGCATATTGGTGCACTTTGGCTGCTGTCTTCATTATCTGTAAGCGTTTTGAGAACTGACAGGGAAGCGCTATGTAAGTGTTAGGACTGTTTGTTTATTTTGTGGTGTTATTACTGTGTGCGCCCCGGTAAGCGGTGGTTGACGAGACTTCAGCTGTCGGAAAATAATGCGCCCGCGTCTTATCCTACTGTTCCTCCACCGCTAGGTGGAGCCGTAGCGCTGCGCAGAGCTGGTCTCCGCACGAGAAATCGATCGAGGTGAGCTTCTGGGTGTTCAAGTGTCGTTGATTTTTTTAATGTATGATGCTTTCGATTAAAAAAAAACAGCGTTTGGATTATAGTAAGATGAACCTTAACAATGCAATTTAACAGTAAACTTCCACGTGGTATCGGAAAAACGGCCGGGCTTAAGTCTTGAGTACCTCTTGAAGAGGTATCGGCTTGTCTTCAACGGTCTGGCTCTGAGGAGGGGCGCGGGCGGAAATCTTAGCTGCATCATTTGATTTGAAAGTTGAAATTATTTTTATTTTTCCATTTGGTGGGAGCAGTTGCGTTAAATTATCCCCCCTGGGGATGAATAAGGTATTTTGAAATGAGTTGAATAGCACATTCCCACACAATACTCGACACCAGTTTTACATTCTCAACTGTTCCCTGTTTAGTTACAGTTGAGAGGTGAATTTCGGGGAGTGTGGAACAACATGCCACCCCGTCTTGCCGTTGAAGCCGACACCCTGGCTTCCTTCAGGAAACGGCGGGATGAGATTCAGGATCAATTAACTGCTGACTAGCACACAGGTCCTACGGACCGACCGGCCTCCTCTCGTTCGTAACTTTTCTTCTGTTCTTGAACACTTCTAACTTTCCACCGTTACTCAACTGCCAGAAAGACTAGTAAGCCAGCGGCACTGCTGAATGGCGTGACAGCCCTAGAGGGACACAGCTCGTAATCGAGCTCACCTGAATGTGGTGTGTGTGTGTGAAATTCACCCCGTCCTTCTTTTAAAATAAATCACCGGAGAGAAAAAAAAAACGGACTCCGAAGCCGCAGCCTCTATAAAGAAGTGAGAACGATCGCATTCAGAGCGACGCTTCCGCAATACACCTGTGGCCAATTCCACGCCGCGCCACGCTGGCTTGTACCAGTCGGAAGCTGTTCTTGAACCCGTCGCGCTGCCGTGCTTAGGTGCGTCGCCATCGCTACAGAACCAAATGCACCAGCAAGTGGAGTAAAGTATACTGGTGCCTCCTGCTGGGACTGGCACCGACCGGATCGGACAAGGGGACACTTGCTTCGGCTACTGGTGTCCCTCACAAACCAAGGACCGTGGAACACGAGGGACACTCTCATCCGGCACAGCACCGAGTGGGGAGCGAGGGAGCTGGAGGAGAGGATCCTTATGGACCTCAGAGGGAGGGTGAAGTGCGACATCCCCAGCTGGAGCTTCTCAATGGACAGGGAGTGCAGGAAGGGACTGTGGGCCCTGTACAGGGACTAAAGTGGAAATTCCCTGTTCCCTGAGCTCCTGCTCCACAGTTTCAGAGCCGGGCCAGGGAAATGGCCAAAAGCAAGCGGTAGGGCTTGGAGGAACTCTTTCATTGTGCAAATCTGCCCCCGTCAGCCACTTGCAATGATTGATAAAGGACAATCACCTGATTGAGAAAGTTCTTACTTGATGTGAGTTTGATCATTTGTGAGAGTGTGCACTTATGGTTAAATGTTTTTTATGTGTGAAATAAGGTTTATTTTGATAGGAAGAAAAACTCTACTGGACTCTCAGTGGGGGTGGGAGTAAAGCAGAGCATCTTCCTCTGTCTCTTCTGTCTCCCTCCCACAGGGCACTGTGTTGAGTTGCCATGGCAAGTAATGGACTGAGCGAGGGAGCCACATGAGCAGCCTTGACTGGAGTCGAAGCACTTTACAGCCGCCTGGGAGAAACCCTGGCAGGGCTGGTGCTTGATTCTACCCGATGCGCACCACTTGTCACCTGGCAGAGACTGCTGGCCACACCCGCGACCATGACAGGGAGAGCTTGAAGGAAATCGGGTGCCATCTTTAAAGGGACAGGTGTAGCTGTCTTCATGGAATTGTGTTGTTTTTTTGTCGATGAAAGCATTGGATCCATTGGACTCGAGTCTGATACTAAATGAGCACAAGGGTTCCCTTTGGGCCAGTACCCCTGCAGAGCCCTGGGCTGAACCTGTCTGTGATGGAGAGGGTGATGAGTTAATGGATCTCAGCAGCTCAGACTCCCCAGTTTCAGATGTGGCTGTGTGGCAGCTGGAGTCTCTTCCAGGGGGCTCACCCAGGTCAGGTGTGTGAGCTCATTTGCACAGGCTGGCGTGGCAAAGTGCCTCAATATTGAATTGGGCGTAGGCACCCCACCCACATCCTCGCTCTGTTGGAAATCACGCCCACATGCCCGGTGGGTGACGCTGGACAGGGATTTGGCACCTCCCAGCCAACCTGTATCCCACAACAGGTCCTGCCATGTGAGCCACTGTGCCCCGTGCTGGGAGGGGTCTCCAGTCATGCTGGGGTACAGGGGATCCAGTCTGCTCAGTCTTCCGTCTGTCGGGGCCACCTGGGCACCCACATCCTGCGCCCGATGAGCTCGTCCTCCACGCAGACACGGAGGAGGTGAAGTGCTCAAAAACCGCAGGACCGTTCCCGAGCGTTCAGCTCAGCACGGGGCCTGTCGGCACTCTGGCACCCCGAGACGCCAAGGTGCAGCGACTCCTACAAAGCCCCCCGAGAGAGAAGGGGGGTTAGTCTGGAGTTTCTCAGTCCTGGGGGGGGGGAAAGGGCCAGACAGGGCGCTGACTCCCACCCGCCAGAGCCGGAGCGCGATGAAGCATCAGCTGAGAGGAGGCTGATTTCCGCGGAGTGAGGGATGGTGGCTGGGTGGGGGGGGGGTGAGAGGGTGACGAATGTGAATGTGCCCGCGCTGGGGGGGCGCCCTGCGTCGGAAGTGAGTGACGAACGGCACTTAATTACCGGGACGGGCTTTTTGCCTGCGTGCTGGAAGATTTTCGGTCCATTTCGCAGGATTTATCTGTTTAATAATCCTAAAAGTGCCGCTTCCCGGGAGCTCTGGGGACTCCCAGTCAGGGCTGATGGACGCCGCCCCCCAGCCTCGCCGGCCCCCCGGGCCCCAGCAAATGGCCACTGAAAGGGCTTAAGCTGAGGTGTGGGATGGGGGAAGGCGGGGGTGGGGGTGGGGGTGGAGAGGAGCTCCCGATGTCTTTTTTGTTCGGCGAACATTACTCTAATCCTGCTCGGGGGTCCCACGAGAGAGGCGTGTGTATATAAGGAGCGCGTGGGCTCGGCGGGAGCACTGGAGCAGCCCAGCCGGCACGAGGCAAGAGCGTCGCACCCGCGCAGCACCGATCCGCAGGGCTCGTTCTTCCGGGATGGACACGGCAGCCTGGGTGACCCTTCTGGGGCTGGTGCTGGCCGCGGCCGGCGTGGGCGGCGCGCTGAAGGAGGAAGGCCTGGAGTCGGCGGAAAACCTGCAGCGCCAGGAGGGGCAGAGCCTGACCGCGAGGCTGGCGGGGGTCTTGGTAAGGATCGGCGCTGGCGGGGCGGGGAGGGGTGTTGGGCCTGGGTGACTGGGTTGCGATCAGGCTCCTGGAGAGCCGGGGCTGGCTCTTGCTCTTCCTTTCCAGAGGAGCTTGGAGCAACTTACCTGAAGCCGTGATTTGCTTGGGTACTGTATGAGTCATGCCTGTTTTCCAAGTCTCTGATTATTGCAATGAATAATTTCCTCTAAGCCCTGCTGGACAGTGGCTCTCTAGGACCAGGGCTGCAGGTTCCTGTCTTACAGTGTGACTCCAAAGCGACACAAGGGTCATCTGCTTTAAACAGATTTCTTAGTCTTCAGTTACTAGACTGACCGACTTGACTGATCAGTAACGACTTTACTTACTCTACTTACTCCGACTGCTGAGGTTGTGCACATGCAGGTATTCCACCCTGAATCCTAAGCAAGACTGTTGACAAGTTTAAGAAGTGTGATAAAGTTTGCCTTATAAAGTGGACCGTGCCTAAGCATTTAGCCTGCTCATTTGTCCGATCACAAGTGGTAGACATGCTGTAGTGAATACGTTGCAAGGTTCCAGTGCTACAGACGCCTGGACCTCCCAGAGACGCTGTTCATTCTGAAATCACACGTGAACTATGAAGTTCGAGCGGCTGATGTAAGTGTTGACATACTGTGAACTTGGCAGATCAGCAGGTGTGCAGTTACGATTGCACGAGAGTCAATATGCTTTGAATGACGTCAACTTATGGTTTCATAAAGAATTTCTTTCGACACTCTAGAAAGGCAGGTTTAGGAGAACCGCAGTCCTTCGCCGCCTGGTCCTTAAGCAGACCAATATCCATGTGCTTTTTCTGTGTTGAATTTTTTCTTGGCTCATCTCAGCCGTCCGGCACATTAAAAGGCAAAACGTGCACTCAGCTTGCACAGGTTTGAAACAGTTTCATCAGGCTGTTCTTCTCTGAAAGTGAGAGGAATACATTTTAGAACAACCACTGTACTTTTTGTAGCTCAAAGCCCAGTGTGTAATGAATCAATCATATGAGTTTTACACTAAACTGGCTGTTCTCCTCTGCCTGATTCTCGCCCTTCAGTGCAGCTTGTCTGAAGGATCCCTGTCTGGGACACCAGTTCTCCTCCTGTCTTTGAGAACATTAGCATCTCTCCCTTTTCCTTCTGGGTCCCATCTGTGACGTGGTCTTGAAGCAAGGAGCCAGGTGTGGCAGGAAAAGAGAATAGACTTTAAAGGGAGCTTGAGAACTACATTAATGAGAAAGTCTTTTATTTGAGTCTCGAGTAAATTACAGTGAGAGCAATCAAGGACAAGAGGATATTGAGTGAAGTACAGGATGCTCTTGATCCATTCATTCGCTCTTGAGAGTGTCTGAAAATCGCTTTCAATTCTAACTGAGCTTTTCTCAGCTCTGGTCCTGCGTAGCCAGTAAATACTATATATATATACAGTATATTACTTAACCCAGTGCTCATGAGAACATAAGAATGGTTACGAATGTTGGCAGGCTCTGTGGCTCATCTGGCTCTTTTGCTAATTGGTAATTTATGTGAGGATCTAATCCAGCCTCCTCTTGGCCCTAAGTCTTTGATTGCGCAATTTGATGATAGTAATGATAGTAACAGCTGGAGCTCAGGTTCAAGCCCAGCATCTCACACACCTCTCAGTAGCGAGCGAGAGATCCAGCGCTATTGAGCTGTTGAGTGAATGAATAGAGTTGCTCTGTGAATGGAGGTGCAGATTGAAATCATGGTTCTATCTGGAAGAGTGTTTCAGGCTCTCTTCCACCCACACCAAAATGGAAGGGGAGCTGATAAATGCCCCCCCCCCCAGCCCTGCGCTGTACTCAGCAGGCAGCATGTGTGACTCCCCCAGGTGCAGCTCGGGGTTCTGCAAGCAGGGGGGCACCTGCTGCTGGGGCTTCGTGTGAGAAGGGAGGATGCAGACTGGACCGGGGCAGGAGTGTCCCGAACGGCTGCTGGCTGCGTGGTCCGACCCCGGCCCAGAGGGGCCAGTGCGTCTGTGGGTTTGCGAGACGCTCCGAGCCAGACGCTTGGAGCAGCTGGGAAACCTCTCCAGCTGGTTCGGAATGAAAGCCTGCAGAGTCGTCGTCCCGTCCTGGGCTAAGCAGTGAACACAAGCCCCTCACTCGCTTACCCAACACGTCTCGTGATTTAAGGTCTGAGAGGGGTTTTCATCTCCTGGAGGATGGATCAAGTGTGTGTTCGAAGCCATCCACTGTAAAACAGCAGGCTGCCGTAGTAAAGGAGGGAAGGAGAACCAGTAAGCTGGTCGGTTGCGAGGATTTGGAAGGAGAAGAAGACACTCCAGCCCAGAGAGCTAACGCCCCGCGCGCTCTGACACTGTGCTCTGCTCTCACGCCCCAGGACGGCGAGGACGCGGGGGTCCGGACAGACGAGCGCCTGCTCAGCGCCCTGCTGCGCCCCCTCCTTCACGCCTCCCAGAGATACGGCCGGAGCCCCTCCTTCCTCTTCCAGCCCCAGAGGTGAGTCCCTGCCCCCCCGGGTCTCCA